AAAAGTGGCCCACATATAATGTGGAAAATGTGGCCCAGTTATCTTATAACACATCTGGGCCACGTTTGACAAAGATATGGCTCATCGAGCACTGGTACATCCTGAAGTAAGCCAAAAGTGGCCCACATATAATATTGCAAATGTGGCCCTGTTATTTCAAAACATATCTGGGCCAGGTTTGGCAAAGATATGGCTGAGTGACCACTGGCTCATCTGAATGTGAGCCAAAAGTGGCCCACATATAATGTGGAAAATGTGACCCAGTTATCTTATAACACATCTGGGCCACGTTTGACAAAGATATGGCTCATCGAGCACTGGTACATCCGAAGTAAGCCAAAAGTGGCCCACATATAATATTGCAAATGTGGCCCAGTTATTTCAAAACATATCTGGGCCAGGTTTGGCAAAGATATGGCTGAGTGACCACTGGCTCATCTGGATGTGAGCCAAAAGTGGCCCACATATAATATTGCAAATGTGGCCCTGTTATTTCAAAACATATCTGAGCCAGGTTTGGCAAAGATATGGCTGAGTGACCACTGGCTCATCTGAATGTGAGCCAAAAGTGGCCCACATATAATGTGGAAAATGTGACCCAGTTATCTTATAACACATCTGGGCCACGTTTGACAAAGATATGGCTCATCGAGCACTGGTACATCCTGAAGTAAGCCAAAAGTGGCCCACATATAATATTGCAAATGTGGCCCAGTTATTTCAAAACATATCTGGGCCAGGTTTGGCAAAGATATGGCTAAGTGACCACTGGCTCATCTGGATGTGAGCCAAAAGTGGCCCACATATAATGTTGCAAATGTGGCCCCGTTATCTCAAAACATATCTGGGCCAGATTTGGCAAAGGTATGGCTGAGTGACCACTGGCTTATCTGGATGTGAGCCAAAAGTGGCCCACATATAATGTGGAAAATGTGGCCCAGTTATCTTATAACACATCTGGGCCACGTTTGACAAAGATATGGCTCATCGAGCACTGGTACATCCTGAAGTAAGCCAAAAGTGGCCCACATATAATATTGCAAATGTGGCCCAGTTATTTCAAAACATATCTGGGCCAGGTTTGGCAAAGATATGGCTGAGTGACCACTGGCTCATCTGAATGTGAGCCAAAAGTGGCCCACATATAATGTGGCAAATGTGGCCCAGTTATCTTATAACACATCTGGGGTGGGTTTGGCAAATATATATTGCTCAGTGACCACTGGCTCATCTGGATGTCAGCCAAAAGTGGCCAACATATAATGTTGCAAATGTGGCCCAGTTATCCCAAAACATATCTGGGCCGGATTTGGCAAAGATATGGCTAAGTGACCATTGGCTCATCTGGATGTGAGCCAAAAGTGGCCCACATATAATGTGGCAAATGTGGCCCAATTATCTTCTAACACATCTGGGCCACGTTTGGCAAAAATATGGTTAAGTGACCATTGTCTCATCTGGATGTGAGCCAAAAGTGGCCCAGATACAATACTGAAAATGTGGCCCAGTTATCTTAAAACAATTCTGGGCCTGTTTTGGCAAAGATATGGCACAGTTGGCACTGGCTCACCTAGAAGTGATTCAAAAGTGGCCCACATATAATGTTGCAAATGTGCCCCAGTTATCTCATAACACATCAGGGCCAGGTTTGGCAAATATATGGCTCAGTGACCACTGGCTCATATGGATGTGAGCCAAAAGTGGCCCACATGTAATGTTAAAAATGTGGCCCATTTATCTTAAAATGTATTTGGGCCAGTTTTGGCAAAAGTATGGTTTTTGCCCCCCAAAAACCTACGTAAACCTACATGTAAACCTACGTGACAAGTCTGGCTTTTCAACACTTCTGACAATGGCTAATTTAGCTTCAAAGGGCAGAATTTTAAACTGCCTTGAAATTTTTTTAACAACAATTAACAATATTTTTTGGTATAGATGCAGCAGACACGGCTGTGTCTCGTGTACACCAATGCATTTTTTTTTTATGTGACCGGTGTGTTTATTAAATTGTTTTTAATGGGAGTGCTGCGTTTTTAAAACGCTGTAACGACTTGCTGAGTGTTTTTAATTTTTTTTATTTGGCTATAAAGTGCTGAACACATTTTTTTTTACAGATTTACGAGAGTCATCAACGGTCATCACTGTCACTTGACTGTCCAATCACAATGGACCACACATACCACACTGACCAACTGTCAAAACATTCTTTCTGTACAACATCAAATAGCAGAGTAGATGGAAAAATAATATTTCTGGTCTCCGAACATACGTGTCTATATGACATTCATACTATACAAACATTTTTAGCATTATACAAATTATCAGGGAAATCAGTAAAAAGTAAACTGTGCCACGGATATTCTGTATAGCAACAAAGTGTCTCAACAAAACAACATGACATCATGACTTCTGCACTGCCAAAACATAATCGCTTACAGCTAGGCCTTTTCAGATTGCCATAGCATTTTCAGCTAGCTAAAAACGCTTTGGTGGACACATGGCCTTAGATAGGCTGGATGTAAGGCCACATATATGACAATTGCTCACATATGTTTTGTAGGTAGAGTGTTTAGAAAATTGTGTAAGTTCAAACTTATAAAGAGCTGTTTATGGTTTTGGGATGTGCAAGAAGATACTTAATTGCTATTTGTGCAAAGCTTAGGGCACAATGATTTTGCCAAGTACATGTCCCTGTATCAACATAATTTTGTTGATCAAGGCACATAATTCCTGTTCATAAAAATAGTCCTATCCCTAACCCGATCCCTAAAGTAGGAGGGACATTTTAATAACACTTATCTAGAAGCATGGTTGGCAACTTCAAACTTCAATTCTAATTTGTCGATATGAATGCTGTTCCAGGATCAATAAAGATGCTGAGCCAGGAACATGTTGTAGCCTACTTTGGCTATTTTTATAACAAACGTACAGGACTTGTACAATATTCAAATATTTTAAATAGCTATAATCAAATAAAATAAAAATTCAATATTGAAAATATAAAAAATATTGTAATATTTTAAAACAAAATAAACGTATTTAAATACATAAATGAAAATTTAATTACATTTTTGGCTTAATATAAATTTATACAAAAGTCACTTTTAGTCTATAAATGATCTTTCTTAAAGATAAAACAATATCTATAATTTTAACATTATAATTAATGAAATACAATTAAATGACTGACAATTAGTGAAGCTCTTGTGAGAAAATATTATTATTTTGACAATAAACTTTTTCAATTTTTATTTTTATTTTTTATTTTTTTTTTGCTTCAGCTTAGGCCTACTTATTTATTAGAGATAAGATCTCTATTTTCTTTGTAACAAAATATTTACTGCATGTGAAGTTGTCTTTGAAAAAAAAAAATCAAACTGACGATTCGGGGCTTTAAATTTAAACGTAGCTGTAAAATTTGAAAAAGGCGCTGGAAACCAACGTCAGTTAGAGGAAGAAGAAAAAAAAAAACAAACCGACGATTGGGCCTTTAAATTTAAACCTAGCCGTGAAGCGCGAAAAAGGAGCTCGAAACCAAGCCAGAGGATTGTCAGTTTGAGGGAGGACGAATACTGCAAACAATCACCAAGGTAAGATATAATCGATACATTTATATTTTCTAGGGCTAGGCGATTGCTTCATACCTATTGTTGTATGAGTTAATGGAATAACTTCTATACTTGAAGTAAGATCATTTTGGCAGTATAACTCTAAGCTAGAACTATTATGGTTCTCGAATGCGAAATGAACAAGTATCGATTGAATAGGGGCGCCAAAAGTATTTACATTTGCTAATGTAGGCTACACTACCGGTCAAATGTTTTAGATCGGTAATGTTTTTAAAAGAAGTCTTTTCTGCTCACCAAGGCTGCAATTATTTGATAAAAAAAAATACAAACCCCCCCCCAAAAAAATCAGTAATATTATGAAATATTATTACAATTTAAAACAGCGGTTTTCTATGTGAATTATATTGAAGTGTAATTTATTATCGAAGCTGAATTTACAGCATCATTACTCCAGTCTTCAGTATCACATGATCCTACAAAAATTATTATAATATGATGCTCAAGAAACATTTATGATTATTATCCATGTTGAAAACAGTTTTTTACATTTTTATTTCAGGATTCTTTGATGAATAGAAAGTTCAAAAGAACAGAATTATTCTGAAATGGAAAGCTTTTGTAACATTAATCACTACCATTCAAAAGTATGGGGTCAGTAAGATTTTATTTTTTTATTTTTGGGGGGAAAGAAATTAAAAAAATACTATTATTCATCAAGGATGAGTTAAATTGATCTAAAGTTACAGTAAAGACATTTCTAATGTTAGAAAAGATTATATTTTAAATAAATCATAGAAGTCATCATAGAAGTTTGGGGGGAAAATGATACACGACTGTTTTCAACATTGAAAATAATAATTTATGTTTTTTGAGCATAAAATCAGCATATTAGAATGATTTCTGAAGGATCATGTGTGATGTGACACTGAAAACTGATCTGTAATCAGCGACAGTAATGATGTTGAAAATTCAGCTTTCAAATTATATTTTAATATATATTAAAATAGAAAACAGTCATTTCAAAATTGTCATTATATTTCACAATATTTCTGTTTGTCATTTTGTTTTTTCATCAAATGAAGCAGCCTTGGTGAGCAGAAGAGACTTCATTTAACTGATCTAAAACTTTTGACCGGTAGTGTCTGTGCTCCGATCTTGCCAATCTTCAGTCAGTTCTGAATGGTGAAAATATTTAACTCTAGCTTTTTTTGGCACAACAATAAAAATGTATAAAAGCCCAGTGTAATATTTCATTCATGTACATTGGGCATACAGTAATACTGCACTGTAGTTGTATTACTTTGTGAAAGCACAAATTACTACATGCTTTTTATTACAATAAAAGCTTTTATGAGATGATTACAAAGTAACAATAGCCTAATAGATATTATTGAGCAAGTTGGTTCAGGTATTATTACTTTGTATTTCACATTTTTAGTATACCCTAGTCATTTTAAAATGAGTTTTTCTGCTTTGTTTTTATTTATTTATTTTTTATTTACTGTTTTGAGTCAGGATGCTTTTCACCTTAATAACATATGTCGATGTGATTTTCTACAGAAAATTGCTGGTGGTATATTTAAACTCCTCTGAAACAAGAAAACATCTATACAAATACATGTTCCTAGTCACCCTGGTTTGCTAAAAAAAGGTTGAACTTGTGCCTTTTTGGCAAAAACAAACAAAAGAAACAAAAAGTGTCCTTGTCCGAAATGTGTCCTTGTTGCCTTGGGCCAAATGTTCTTTAGAGTGGCACTGGCAAAGTATGCACTTGGTCAATGCTTGTATTCCTGCTAATTGTGTCCTAAGATTTTAAAAGTTGTCATCCTTGCATTTACAATGTTCTATATTTTTAGGAACTGTCAGAACCAATAGACTGACAGCCACGGCCACCGATCAAGAAATTGAAACATTTATTAAAAAATGGCTTCATCTGTCAAGTGACCGAGACGGAGGGAGAAGAGAAAGCAAGAAACGAAGGAGGTCCCAAGACACCTGTAAGTCAGCTACATTGTGTTTTTGCCATGTGTATAATACCATGGTCTGTCTGAATACTTGATTATGGCCCTAGAATATTTTAGTTTTATTTTTTTCCCAAATTCTGTTTTTTCCATTTTCATTTTTGCTAATTCCGTTTTTTCATTTTCCTTGTTTGAGAATTCAGTTTTTTTTACCCTTACCTGTTATTTTAGTCATAAAAAGAGGGTGCTTGTAATGTTAATAATTAAAATGTACACAAATAAAATAGGAATGACCTTTTAACATTTATTGAGGTAACAGACATTGACTCTTACTCTTCAGCAGAAATACTGCATGATGCAACATAACACTAAACTCTAAGTTTAAGTAACAATAAAATATGGTTATGAGCTTTAAAATGTCCAGTAAAAAAATTATATATAATATAATATAATTATACAAATCAAAAGTTGTAATTGTTAACATTAGTTAATGCACTGTGAACTAACATGAACAAACAGTGAATGACTGAAACATTAAAAAAGGGGTAACACTTTACAATAAGGTTCATTAGTTAACAATAGTTAATGTATTAACTAACATGAACTAACCATGAGCAATACATTTGTAACAGTATTTGTTAATCTTCGTTGATGTTAGTTAATAAAAAATAAAGCTGTTCATTCTTTGTTCATGTTAGTTCACAGCACATTAACTAATGTTAACAAGATTTTAATAAAGTATTAGTAAAAATTGAAATTAACGTTTACAAACATTAATAAATGCTGTATAAGCGATGTTCATCATTAGTTCATTAGTTAACTAATGTAGTTAACTAATATTAACTAATGAACCTTATTGTAAAGTGTTACCAAAAATGGTTAATAAATAATGCACTTCATGTTAGTTAATACTAGTTAATACATTAATTAATGTTCACAATTAAGGCCTTGAGTAGGGTTGGGTATCGATAATCGAGTATCGATTGGAACCGAGACTAACTTTTCATTTTTCCCGGAATCGTTCAAAAGTTAAAATTTCGATTCCTACTTTCGATATTCACAGTCCGCCGAGCGGAAGAAGAAACCGCTGAACAACATCAACGAAGAAGCGTCTACCGGAAGTGTTGGCATAACCACGCGAGTCGAACATGAGTACCTTACGTCGGCGATCCAACTTTTTTGACCCTGCCTCTTAAAAGAATCGAGAATCGTTAGGAACCGGAATCGAAACAAGGAATCGGAATCAGAATCGTTCAAATTCAAACGATACCCAAACCTAGCCTTGAGGCCTCATTATACTTCTGCGTCGGACCTACGCCGAAGCTTCTATGCTGTAGGCAACGCGTTGGTTTTCATTTATACTTTAGCGTCATTGTCCGCGTTGACGTGCAATTACTCTTGTAGAGGGAGCATGTGAAATCCGAGGTAGCAGTCCTGGCAGACAAATCACAGCTCTTGCATTTCTTTAGAGTTGACACGTTGTTACATTTTTGGAGAGGTGCACGTCAGGGTACGCCGAAGGGTACGTGCGCTACACACAGCCTACAACGTAGCTATGGCATGAGTTCGACGAAGAAGTATAAATAGCCCTTTAGATTTACCAAACTGTTTAATGCACTGATAGGTCCAGTCCATTTTTCTACTATTGCTAGTAAAACACTTTGAAAATCAGCATTCTGTTACTGAGTCAACAATTGTTTTTTTTTTTGTGTGTGTATCCAATAAAGGCTTGCAAGATTGCCAGATGGGCCCAGTCAAGGAGGTCGACTTCTTTAATTTTGGGTGGCTCTGGATGTGACCAACTGGAAACATGTTTTGTTTTTTGTTTAGCTCTAAGATGCTTTATATGCACATATTTTGTGTTTGTTTATTATTACTATTTTTTTTGATTGCTTTCCAGTTTTGAAAATTGAAACTTGCACTTGGTTGTTCTTTGACAATATTAATAAATAATGCAAATGTTTTCAGAAATGTGTTTAAATCATCTGTTGTAACTTCTCTTAACATAGAAAGGGGGCATTTTTAAATTTCTCTTTAGTGTATATTTTTCTTAGTGTCAGTCACAGCATGCAAAAACAAAAACACACAGTTATAGTCTATTTATGTAATTCTTGACACACATGTGGCTGAACAAATTTCCTGCTTGTGGACCAGATCTGGCAAACAGGATTGCAACTGTAGTCAGCTGTGTATTTGGTTTGTGTTTTGGTTACATGTGGCATTGCTATGGCTTAATTGTGGCTCTAATCTGGCAAACTGGAGGGGACTGCCTTAAGTGCATTAATTTTCATCTGGCCCACATACCGCATGTGTAATGATGGCACTTGAATGGTTCGTTCTTGTTTGCCAGATTTGGGCCACAATTAGCCCAAAGCAATGCTGGATGCCAGCCATAAACAAAACAAATTAAGCAGAATAAGCCCCCATCTGGCCCAGACACCACAATTGCTGTGGCCCAGATCCGGCCCACAATTGACACTTTCATCTGGCCCACCTACCATGTGGAATGGCACTTGGGTGGTCCGCTCCTGATTGCCAGATTTGGGCTACAATTAAGCCATAGTAATGCCGCATGTCAGCCAGAAACAAATAAAATGAAGCAGAACTGGCCCAAATCTGGCCCATGCATCAAAATTGCTGTGGCCCAGATCCGGCCCACAGTTGACACTTTCATCTGGCCCACATACCTCGTGGAATGATGGCACTCGGGTGGCCCGCTCCTGTTTGCCAGATTTGCGCCACAAGTAAGCCATAGCAATGCCGCATGTCAGCCATAAAAAAAAACGAATGAAGCAGAACTGGCCCAAATCTGGCCTATGCATCAAAATTGCTGTGGCCCAGATCCGGCCCACAATTGACACTTTCATCTGGCCCACATACCGCGTGGAATGATGGCACTTGGGCGGTCCGCTCCTGTTTGCCAGATTTGGGCCACAATTAAGCCATAGCAATGCCGCATGTCAGCCATAAAAAAAACGAATGAAGCAGAACTGGCCCAAATCTGGCCCATGCATCAAAATTGCTGTGGCCCAGATCCGGCCCACAGTTGACCCTTTCATCTGGCCCACATACCGCGTGGAATGATGGCACTTGGGCGGTCCGCTCCTGTTTGCCAGATTTGGGCCACAGTTAAGCCATAGCAATGCCGCATGTCAGCCATAAAAAATTTAATGAAGCAGAACTGGCCCAAATCTGGCCCAGATATAAAAATTGCTGTGGCCCAGATCCGGCCCACAGTTGACACTTTCATCTGGCCCACATACCGCGTGGAATGATGGCACTTGGGCGGTCCGCTCCTGTTTGCCAGATTTGGGCCACAGTTAAGCCATAGCAATGCCGCATGTCAGCCATAAAAAATTTAATGAAGCAGAACTGGCCCAAATCTGGCCCAGATATAAAAATTGCTGTGGCCCAGATCCGGCCCACAGTTGACACTTTCATCTGGCCCACATACCGCATGGAATGATGGCACTTGGGCGGTCCGCTCCTGTTTGCCAGATTTGGGCCACAATTAAGCCATAGCAATGCCGCATGTCAGCCATAATAAAAACGAATGAAGCACACCTGACCCAAATCTGGCCCAGACATCAAAATTGCTGTGGCCCAGATCCGGCCCACAGTTGACACTTTCATCTGGCCCACATGTGGACCAGTTCGGCTTCATTTGTTTTGTTTATGGCTGACATGCGGCATTGCTATGGCTTAATTGTGGCCCAAATCTGGCAAACAGGAGCGGACCGCCCAAGTGCCATCATTCCATGCGGTATGTGGGCCAGATGAAAGTCTCAACTGTGGGCCGGATCTGGGCCACAGCAATTTTGGTGCGTGGGCCAGATGTGGGCCAGTTCTGCTTCATTCATTTTTTTTATGGCTGACATGTGGCATTGCTATGGCTTAATTGTGGCCCAAATCTGGCAAACAGGAGCGGTCCGCCCAAGTGCCATCATTCCACGCGGTATGTGGGCCAGATGAAAGTGTCAACTGTGGGCCGGATCTGGGCCACAACAATTTTGCTATCTGGGAGCTCTGAGTGTTTGCAAGGTTGATACATTTAAACTATAATATACTTTTGTTTTGTGTCGTTTAATGTAAAATGTGTAGTGTTGTTGTCCTGTGAGGGAAAAAAGTAGGCTACTTCACATTATCTATATTGAAATATGAATATTGGAGTTATTGGAATATGAATTGGAAATTCATCCTAGAAATGTTGTATTATTTGCCAGTGATATCAAGACATATTCTTTAAAAACACGTAATATTATCTTACATTACTTTGACTCAAGTATAGGTATTATTAAGAGAAAAGAAACCAGAATAACTGTTCTTTGCTGTGCACTTTCACTTCCTCCTTGGGGGCTCTTCTTTTTATCAAGTACAAACTACAAAGCACTCACTTGAAAATATCGCATCCTCTTACGTAGAAAGAGAGCTCCTCCAGAATCCCCTGCAAAGAATTGCACTCATTATGTGTCATCTCAGTGTGTAGATATTAATATATATATATATATATATATATATATATATATATATATATATTTTTATTCAATCAAACCTTTGCAAGTCATTTCATGTCTGATTGACTCTGTTCCTCCAGTGCACATGAACCTGTCTGTGATCACTTCTGACAGAGATGCGCTGCTGTTTGCAGGAAAGGTGGATCTTGCTTTCTTTAAGCATTCACCTCTCTGTGGGAGAAAGTTTTATATCATAATATACATAATCGACTAAATTATAGGATGCACTGATTAATTAATCAAATGGATCATATGAAATTACATTACAAGTGAATTATTGTTTGTTTTATTTCCATTTTATTGAACACAAGTTTATCACTACCAGTCCTACATGTCTATTCACAAAGGATGTGTTCTTCAAGTCCTTCTGTTTTAATTGTTGGTCTATGTACAGATGTGGCCAAAAGATTAGCCAGTGACAAATTCTGTGCAAACAAATTGCAGTTTCCTGGTTTACTGTGTTGGTGCACATTTTTTTCTAGATTATTGTGCGGAGAAATCAGATGCATTTTAAATAACTGCAAAAAGCTTCACTTCATCACAAAAAAAGCAAAATATGTTTTTTTGTTTTTTGGCCCTGGCATCTGACATCATTTCACTAATCATATCAATAGCTCATGTGAATTTGAGTACAAGTCTGGTAAAATCACTCTACCATTCTGATTGAATTATGAGAGCAAACTTATTGCATTTAAGGAAGGAAACAAGTGCTTCCAATCATTGTATGTGTGTGTTAGCAATGGTTGTCTCCAAAAAAAAGACTTGCAGCCATCATTGCTGTGCATCAACATGGCCTCACATGCAAGGAAATTGCTGCAAAGAATATTGCACCTGAAAGAACCGTTTACTAAGAACTTCAGAGAGAGAGGTTCAAATGTAGTGAAGAATGTTTCAGGGTGTCCCAGATTGTCCCGAATGAGTAAATGGCTACAGAATCGTGTCACCACCAGTACAGTGATGCATCCCCAGACAGCAAACTGACATTGAATCAACGTGGAAACGACGTCTCTCATGACATTGAAACAACGTTGATTTTGCTCATCGAATTAACGTTGAACCAACGTCAGACGCGGCATTCTTCAAAGCTAAATGAAAATCGAAAATTGGTTTGCTTTCATAACGTTGAAACAACGCGTTGATTTCAAGTTGATTTTCCGTTAGTTTTGAAAGAATGACGCGTCTGACGTTGGTTCAACGTTAATTCGATGAGCAAAACAATGTCAGATCAACGTTGTTTCGATGTCGTGTTTCCACGTTGATTCAATGTCAGTTTGCTATCTGGGTCTTCACACACAATCGGTGGTGATGGCACAGTGGATAAGACACATGCCTTTGATATGAGAGGACCGGGTTCGAAATCACTGCGAGACACCAATGTGTCCCTGAGCAAGACACTTAACCCCTATTTGCTCCAGAGGTGTATATAGCAATATAGCAATTGTAAGTCACTTTGGATAAAAGTGTCAGCTAAAGTAATAAATGTAATGTAAACATTGAGGCCAAGTCTTCTGAATTATAGCCTAGTGTCAAGAAGAGCAGCAAAGAAGCCACTTCTCTCCATGACAAACATCAAGAACATACTGAAATTCTGCAGGAGGTACAAGTATTGGACAGCAGAAGACTAGTGCAAAGTTATTTTCTCAGATGAAGTTAACTTCCAACTATTTGGGACATCTGGAAAATAGATTGTCTGGAGAACAAATCGCTACCATGAGTCCCATGCCGTTCCAACAGCGAAACATTCTGATGCCATCCATGTGTTGGGTAGCTTTTCATCCAGGGGAGTGGACGCTCTAACAATTCTGCCCAAAAACGCTGCTTAATAAAGAATGGTATCAAAACATCCTGCAAGAGAAACTTCTCCCATTGACTCAGGAAGGTGAAGATCTGTGCATTTTCCAGGATGATGGCGCAGCATGTCACAAGGCAGAACTGATAATGAAGTGGCTCAGAGATCCTGGCAACTCCTTGGATCTTCATTCCATATGTTATGTACAAGTATTGTTTTTCTCTTGTGAATATGTTAAGGTCATTGCTATGTATTTTTGTCTATTGTTGCTTATGCATTTTCCCTCTCTATTTTCTCTCTATGCTGATGCTCTTCATGTGGTGATTATAGACACCTGCACCTCATTTACTGATGGTCATCTGTCACCTCATTCATTGGTTCCAGCAAGAAGAGAACCAGCAAATGAAGCACCCTTAAGCCACACAGCAAGCAAAGGGATTTCAAGCCCAGGAAGAGATTTGTCGAAACAATCTGACAACGGTCTCCATGGTGACCCCTGGTGGTCAGAGCAGTGTAAGTGCAACAAAACCCGAGCCAAACATGCATAACACTTTTTACTAATCTATTGCCTTTTTTTATTGAAAGTAAAATCTTTCAAATGCAATCATTTAATCATCTAATAAGATTATCAAGTGTCTATATGTTCTTTTATCAATTGTATCAATTGTTTGTTTTATTTGTTCTATGAATGGCTCAGCTAAAAAGCCCAATAAGAGTTTTAACTATACCATTATTCATTTTAATTATACTAATGTCTAATTAAAATGCCTACAAATTTATAAAACTGATCAGAGATCAGGTAAAACCCACAGACACTTGTTCATTGGGTCTCAGTCACTCTTCATGATTCATGGGTTGACAGAGATCATCGCACCCAGTGGTGAACCATTGAAATTTCGAAGTGTTTCGAAACAGTTGTTATTTGGTTTACTGAAATTACTCTTGACTCTGGGAGTTTAAAACACCATTGTTTCAGAACAAAAGATTTGTAAAGTCTTCAAAACTTCATGAAGCAGTGTTTTGAATTTGCCATCAGTAGTTTTTGCTAAGAGCATGCTCTGGTATACCTTCCTTGTGCTGACAGTTTAAGTTGTTAAGTCTTTTATTGGTTGAGTTATTTGGAATCCTGTAGGGAGGTGGGTGCCATTTTTCTTTGTAATTTATCTTTTTCTTCTGTTTTTCTGAGTGAGACAGGGAAGTTTTGCTGTTTTATTGTTGTTATACTTTTGCTGTTATAATCTTTTTGTTTTATTATTTTGGCCTTGCTCACTCCAGAAGCTTTTGTTCCATTTTTTCCTGTTTTACTGAATTACACTTCAGTTTGACCTCTGGTTGGCAGCGTTCTTTCGTGAGCTGGGGCTGGAGATAAGAAGTTCCCCATGGTCCCTCTCATCTCAATGACTACTTTTACATGCAGCCAATAACCCGTTCAAAACCGGGATATTAGCAATAACCCGGTCATGAACGACCATGTAAACACCGGCAAAAACCCGAATATGCTGCCGGATTTTAAAAACCGGGATATTATACCTGGGGTACCCCTATTCTAACCCGAATTTTTGGTCATGTAAACGCGTATCGGCATATCCCCATAGTGATTTGTGTTCTGTGCATGTTCTATTCGCAAGGAATCTTGGTCTTTTGAGTAGAGAAACTACTCGGCGCATACAAAAATTCACGTGCAGTATACCGGAAGTAAACATGGCGAGACACAGCACAGCATACTTTTGGAGCGAGGTCAGTAACGTTACCAGCATCAAAGCGCAAACAAAGGCGATCGCTATCTGCCCCGAACTATTCATTATCCGCATGCTGCTGTTGTTGTTGTCTTTGGATACAGGAAGAAGAATCGGAAATGACGCATGTTGCGTCTTGAGGTTGTCTGTACGTCCAGACGCTAACCACGCGTCGCCGTTTACATCGGGATATTGCAATTCCATGTATACAGGAGAAACTCTCTCTGCTCACGCATGTAAATGGGTTATTCCTAATGTTTCAGAAACCCGAATAGTGACCTTAACCCGACCATAACCCGAAAATTGGCTGCATGTAAACGTAGTCATTGTTACATTTTCCCTTACCACCTAGACATAAAAAGGGGAGATCGTAACACACAGAGAACCTGTGGTCAATCCTCAAAAGGTGACTGCTCGTATCATCACTTATGATCTGTGCTTTGTCGTAACGAGTGATCTTTGAACTAAACAGGTCTTGTCTACGTGTGTTTGTGTATCATATGAATAATATCTGCCCCATACATGGAATCAGAGTGCCTACTGTATGTAGTAAATGGAAAATCTCCACAGCAAAAGGCCAACCACATGCGGTTAGTTCTACCATTTATTAGTAATGATTGTTTATTACTTACTATATTCCTGAGCATTCAGTATTGACCAAGTATGCATACTATTGTGACTCCCCAACCTGCCTTCACGTTGCCCCATTAACTGTACTATGAATACGTCGACCTTGTCTAACATACCCAGTGATAATAGACAAAATCTCCACCACAATACTGTCACCGCAATCGCAGAGAGGCTCTAATAAAATGACTCACTCTCACACTAACTCCGCTTTTGATTGCACTGATTCAATGCGCTGTAACTCGAACATTTTGTATAGAAACATGATGTTTTTTGAGTCGGGGATGAAGTATGACATGTCTGCCATGCAGTGGAGGGGATGTCAAACAAAATTTGACACCCAATTTCATAAAATCGCCCGTTTTATTCAGTGACACATCTTGTCGAGTAAACTCGACCCTGGCGCCAAAATACATGGATAAAATAAATGTAAAAAAATTAATGACCCGCCCCGCAAATAAAGTGACAATTTCTTTACCCGCCCCAACCCGATCCGCGGGTTACGAGTCGACCCGCGCATCACTAGTCTCAGTATTTCAGAAACTGGTGATCTACTGGGATTTTCACGCACAACCATCTCATGGGTTTACAGAGAGAGAATATATCCAGTGAGTGGCAATTCTGTGGGTGAAAATGCATCAACAAAGCCGGAGGTCAGAGGTGAATGGTCTGACTGGTTTGAGCTGATAGAAATAGTAACTCAAAATAACCACTCGTTACAACCAAGGTCTGCAGAAGATCCTCTCTGAATGCACAACACGTGGAACCTTGAAGCAGATGGACGATAGCAGCAGAAGGCAAATTGGTGCCACTCCTGCTAGATGAGGCTACAATTCACACCGGCTCAATCAAATTTAAGAATAGAGGATTGGAAAAAAAATTCTGCTGCAATTTAGATCGTAGGGTCAGAATTCGATGTCAACAACATAAAAGCGTAGATTCATCCTGCCTTGTATCAACGGTTCAGGCTGTGGTGTGAGGGAAACTGTATTTTTTAAACACAAAAATGAGTTCACTAAACTCAAATGGCCCCACAGTCACCAGATCTCAATCCAAAAGAGCCCTTTTGGCATGTGCCGAAACGGAAGATTCGCACCATGGATATGCAGCCGATGAATCAGCAACTGTGTGATGCGATCAAGTCAATATGGACCAAAATCTCGGAGGAATGTTTCCAGCATCTTGTTAAATCTATGCAACGAAGAATTAAGTTCTGAAGGAAAAAAAAAACATGTCTAACCTAGTGAAGTGGCCGGTGAGTGTATAAGGCAGCTGTAACTGGGATGACCTAAGTTTGAGTCCCGGCTCAAGATCATCCCCCCTCTCTCCTCCTCCCTGTTCTTTTCTGACTCATATACACGGCATTGTCTAATAAAGGCACAACACATATTAAAGTGATTTTGTAAGGACAGCACTCACTTTTGCACCACTATGTATGTGGGTGTCTGCTCGATGAGTTCCCTGTCTGATGAAGTTAGCCGGAGTCTCTTCCAGGTGAATCAGGGATCTCTCTGGTCAATCACACAAACATTCATTCCATCATAGAATTATTTTTTATCTTTTAGTTAAAGATTATGAGTTTGACTATGTTTTGAACTTTGATGTTATTCACTATAAATCTTCATAACAATATATTAAAGTCCCTGTAAAGGCAATTCTAAAAAAAAAATTCGAAACACATTATAAATTTTAAAACTGTACTGCTTAAACATATTACAAAGACTGTGAAGTGTGGAGTACTGAATTGTGGAGTTAAACCGTTGCTGTGTTCTGGATTTTTTGCACGGGACTAAAACAGGGCTCGATGACGCACTGGAGCCCCTGAGACACGCCCCTACTTCACATCAGTTCGCCGCTGAATCGTCAGTACTATTAGTTACTACAGCCTACGGTTTGCTAGCTAGCAATGCCTTCGCCACGGAAATGCGTAGGCTACTACCTGGATGTGATCACGCACAAAACAGATTGGTGTCCTTATTTAATTTTCAGAAAAACTATCACATCAAGAAGAGGTGGATTAATATTGTGAAGAGTCACATTGACTGAGAGCTGAGGATCACCGCCAACACCCGCCTCTGTAGTGATCATTTTACACCGGATAGATTTATAAACTTTCGTCTGAGATAACTGGGATTCAATGATAACCCGCTGTTACTGGTGAACAGTAAAAGTCCTGCCACATTTTTATTCCACCCACAGCAAAAACTCCAGTGTTAAATGAACTTTACTGGGAGTTTATTTGGATCCAGACTCAAGAGTGTTAAAGTTAATAAGATAATTATGTGAATAATTGAGCATTATTTAAGACACCAGATGTTAACTAGCAGAATCACTGAAGGAGAAAATCTATATTTTAGTCACCATTATGGTGATCAGTGTTTGCTTTAGTTGGGCAGGTGACCTTTAAATGCTTCACTAAAAATGTTGTTTATTTTTGGCTGTTTTAACAGCTGGATGAACAAAGAGCTCAGATCAGATGTTCTAGATCATGTTTAGACATAATCATCATTTGACCTGAATCACTGAACTCATTTAAAGCCTACTCTCTGATTTAAAAGTTTAATGATCATAACAGCATCACTGTGATTCTATAACATTAGACCCAGATTTTTTCAAAATAAACCAAATGATATCTAAAACGTTGTTCTGATAAATAAAAATCTTTCTTTTAGGCACACACAGACATCAAGATTCAGTGTATGAATCTCAACACTGGTTACAAACAGAATATTCAATTAGGGAAAGGAAATTACTAAGACAATTCAGATCATAATTTATTCATACCGCAATGCATGATGGGAGCCAAGAATGAGTTTTGATTGGTGGCACCCAGAATGCACTGCAACATGCTATATAATTAATCACTGGCTGATTCTTGGTGTCTGTGTGTGCCTATAAAGTATTTAGAATAGAACAGCTTTTAAGAAATCTTTTGGATAATATTTACATTTCTGAAAAAGTTATAATGTATAATCAAAATGAGTTTTGTGACAAATGGTGATTATGTCAAAACATAACCAACCCCAGCGCATCAGCTTTCCTTGTTGTTCATTTGGCAGTTATAACTCATGTACAGCAGCCAAACAACTTATAAAGTTAATGATTTAAGAGACAAGAGCCCAACCAAACACTAATGGTGACTAATGGTGGTGGTGAAAAATGTGACGTTCTCCTTCAGTGATTCTGCTTGTTAAAATCAGGTGTCTTTAATAATACTCAATCATCACTCAATTATTCACTTAATTATCTCATTCACTTTAACACTCTTGAGTCTGTATCCAAATAAACTTCCAGTAAAGTTCATTTAACACTGGAGTTTTTGCTGTGGGTGGAATAAACATGTGGCAGTACTTTTGCTTTCTGACCCCTGGACTTTTCCACCCAAAACTCAGGTCTTAGGAGGTTAAGTGCTCATGGAAGAGATGAGTTTTCAGTTAACATACATAATTTTGACTTTACAGGGAATTTTACAAATACTCACTGTGCTCGTCACACGTAGAGTCTGGATCCATTCTGAGAGCCCGGTTTGATGATTTGGTACAAGGTAAACAAATGGGCCTGTGCAGAAAGTTATATATTTTATGCATTAATTGGCAAGACTGGGATCTAGTCTGCTTGTTAAGCCATGACACATTGAATACCGTTTCAGTACTTAAAGGCTTTACTTCGTTTCATCTGAGAAAACTATCTCAACAGCTATTTAAAAGCTTATTTATTTATAGCACTCATTTAAGATTAAAAAAACCCACCAGATAAGGTTTGCAAGCATCTAAATATATACCAAGGGAAAGGGTAGTTGAATCTTACCTTGCCTTCAAAGATATCGTAATGTTTTCTCTCATCCTAACCAGAGCAATGTCGTAATCATAAAACTCATTTACATTCTTGTCCTTAAGGCCTTTCACATTAAACAGTGGATGAAGAATCAACTCCATGGCTTTAACTTGACCATTACCTTTGTAAGAGAATTGAAGCAAAGTACATGTAGTTTAGCGTCTGTGCACGACCAACATAAATTCAAAGTTGACCCAATTTTCTGTTCCTGGTCTAATTCAACGCTGCATAATTTTATTCGATTTGGCTTTGATTTTTTAGCTGACTTTATAAGAGATTCTTTCTGAGGAGAATGAGTCACCTTAAATTATTCCATGACATTGTTGACAAAAGAAACAATTCTTACCATGGTGAACTGTTATGTCAGCAGCACTGGCAACTGATACAGATTCATCTGAATTCACCTTTATTAAGCAGTGAGCAGCTGTCAATACCATGCTCTTAGTCACTAGAGTCCCTCTGCATGTTTTAGCTCCCTGGATGACAAAAAAGTCAAATATGATCTTCCATCTGAAAGCAGGGCTTTTATAGAAGTCTTTATCTCAAGTTTTATTAAATTGTTAAACTCTTGATATGGATTCACCAACCCAGAGAACATTGACATGCCAAGGTCTGGTGTAAGTGTTTTCGGGCTTCTCTTGCTCACCCTGGTCCTCTTGCTCTTGTGCCACTCCACACTTAGTCACAGCAGAATCACCTGATTTGTACAGTAAGGCACTATTATCAGTAAAGCTGCTTTGAAACAATATATCTGGAGAAAAAATATTCAGATTGAAACTGAAAATAGACATATTAATTCTCCAGAGTCTCTGGATAACTATTTAAACTGGGAGACCCTAGAGGTTCTCTGATATCTGATCACTTACTGATCATTCGGTTGAACACAGATCCCAGATGTTTATAGTCCTTCAAAATAAAAAAATGCAACTCATCTTTCTTGGAAGAGGCAATGCTTGTGAGATCTTTCTTGTTAACTTCTCCACTGACAGCAAACACATACACATCTGTGAAACATATAAATGCACATAACTGGTAAAACTAAGAAAACAATCATTAAGCTGTATTTTTTTTTTACTTTGGATCAAGGTCTTGACAACCACACCCGCTACACAAAATACATCCACAAGTAAACAATGTATGATAAACTGGCTTGCTTACACTTCCTACAGTTGTGGACAGAATTATTGGCAGCCCTGGTAAACGTGATCAAATTGTCACAGTTTCACTCCTCACATGTGTTTCCCTGTCTAAATTCCCGCCACTGATCAGTCACCATGGACACCAATCACCTTCATCACAGCTGTAAGTCATTTGTTAATTATCTTTGTGTATTTAGTTCCTGCTTGTGCTCTGTCTGGGTGAAGCGCTATTATTTGGATTTGCTTGCCTTCGTGAACTCTTTTGAACTTGCCTCACACAGAAGTGTGACAGAATACCGGACCAAACTAAGAACGCGTTTGTATTTTCCTTTTTGTTTTTCCCGTTTTCGTGTTCAGTGTTTTTGTACCGTTTTCACCCCTGCATTCACCATGGACTTTCCGGCAGTAAAGCTCATTTGCCTTGAGCAGGGAGAACGATCCCTCGAGGAACACTTAGTAGTGTTTTTGGATCTTGCCCATCAGACCACCTTCCCGGATGACTGCCTGTGCACGTTCCTGCAAGTCAGACTCAATGCTGCCACACGTGCACAGTTATCCGGGGAGGTTCCTCGAGGGAGGTTCATGTCATATGTGGAGTGGGTGCTGGTATCCTGCGGATCTGCGTTCACCGTCGAGGATGCCGCCAGCCCCACTTCCCATCCAGTGCCCAGCCAGAACCACCCAGACGGCGAGGACTGTCGACCTGAGCCCACCGCAGGTAGCGCAACGGAGACCGCGGCGATGAATGAGTCCGCGCCTTGAGCGACCGAGGATCACATCGCCATGGAGCCCGAGCAATGCGCGCCTGACCAGGTGTGTGAGCCGGCCGAGCCATCCATCGCTGAGGGAGTACTGGTGGACGTTGAGGGTTCGGAAGTAAGCCCCACCCACCCCTCCGCTACTGAGAGTGCGTCTCTGGCTAAAACAACTTTTGATTTTGGAGATGAGATTTGTCTAGCTCCAGTTCTGTTACCCAAACCTGACAATCCTGATCCTGTCATTCATCTACCCGTCATGTTAGCCCCGCCCAACCTCCCTCTCCCACCACCTCTCCAAAACATCCCAACACTATATTTTTTTTTTGGTTTTTGCATTGGACTTCAGTCTCTTCCACAGTGTCCAGCCATCTGTACCACCCAGTCATCTATGTCACCCTTCAGTCCCTCGGTACCACCTCTGCCTCTCAGTATCGGGGTACCACCTCGGACCTGTCGGGAGCCATCTTCTCCTCCGCAAGATGAGCCCATAGCTCCGTCTAAAGCCTCGGTGCGCTCCGATCTGCTTTGACCTGTTGCCCTGGCTCCCGAACCTATGCTCCTTCCACCCTCGACCTCACCGTGGACCATCGACCATTCGGCCTTGCCGGACTCCCTCGGCAGGTCGATTCCACCGAGGTCAGACGTCGCTTCACCTCCGCTGCGGACCTGCAAACCATCTGCTGCTCTCTGGTTCTCCACCCCTTCTGCTACGGCTTGCTCCGCTCTACCTCAGGCTCCACCTCCGCCCTCGGTCGCTCCGACTCGCCCTCAGACCTCCGGATCCCCACCTCGCTCTCAGGAGATCGTCGCTGCGGCTCCGTCGCGGTCACCTGGGTCTTCAGCATCTCTTCACAACCTCTGCTCATCGCCTTCACGGTGGGTTTCTTCCTCGTCGTCGTCGCCTCCAGTCATGTCCATGGCGGTCTTCACTGCTTCTCCATGGCTCCTCCCTCCATTGACGCCGCCGTGTGGTACCATCCTGGCTGTAGCCTGGGCACCTTCCATCACCCATCTGCCCAAGGTCCTTCACTGGATTTGACCACGATCTGCACCACCCTGGAACCTTCAGTTCTGTCTCCTTCCTGTCATCCGTCCTCCGCCTGAACCTCCTCCAGCTTCTTCTGCCTTTTTAGTGAGAAGTTTTTTTAAATAACAACATGTGGTGATGTAGGGGTTGTTTGATCATTTTTTAGACTGTCTGACCCCAAGACTCAACTAATCTCTGCAATTCTCCATCTGTGATCCTTGGAGAGTCTTTGGCCACTCAAAACATTTTTATTTGTAATGCTAAGAAAGGGTTAATCCCTCATGTACTAGAGGATTCTAACATACTTTTGGAGAAGTGGATGGGATCAGGCCAGAATTTTGTGGGAGTGGGACTGAAAAATAGACCCCTATGTGTCCAGTTATTATGATTCAAAATAACCTGAAATTTGAGCAATTATGACAAGAGAGGAAAAACAGGGTTAATATCAAAATGAGCCTGATAGGGTTGTACATTATTAAGAGATGTACACTTTTATGAGACGAACCCAGAAGCTCCTCTTGTGTGTGGTCTACACTGCTGGGTCTGTAGCCGAACAAGTTCCGGATCTTAGCTAACATGGTTTGTGGGCTGGGTCCCATATTTGAGTGGCCTGGATATACACAAAAACAAAAGCAAAATTAGTACATCATCATTAAATGAGCTTTAAAATGATTCACAAAACTTTTGGGCTTAACATGCTGGGTATTACTTTATTAACATACAGTATCTGCAATAATGATCTGCTTATTGAGGGCTTGTACAGTAGTTAAATATATAACGTTATATAGTTCATTTAAAATGAAAATTCTGTCGTTTACTCAACGCACAAAATATGATATTTTATTAATAATTTGTGGAAAATGTCATACATTAACAGTCAAAAGATGTTTGGAAATCCCCCTTTTTTATGTTCCCCATAAGTAAGAAAGTCACAGTGTATAACGACCTTACTTAATGAACCGTTATGTTTTTATTACCTTAGAATGAGACATTTTTATCTACATACACCACAGGTCCCCTGACATTGACATGTTTCTACAGTTGCCATAAACGGACAAATGCGTTTCGTCACTGTATTGTTTTTAGTGCAAAGAAGCTAGCTAGATAAAACACTGACACAATCACGCACAAATAACAATAATATTCCCAATTGTTTTACGAAATAATTAAGAAAACCTAATTTATTAATGTATCTTTGTAAAGAAACCTCATTGTTTAACTGGCTCCTCTCTGCCGTCTCAGACGACGACATCATTTCCTGTCGGCCACCATAACTTCTGTTGGGTGCCATTCGCAACCTCACCACTAGATGTCGGTAAAAATGACACAGTGCAGCTTTAAGGCATATATACTTTATATCAAAAAGCTGCGTTCCTCACGAGACCGCAATGCGCGAGTTGAGTCAGTGAGTGACGTTCAGGGAGAGGTGACTGACACAGGCTGCTCCACACAGCAACAGAGAGGGCTCGGCTGAGCGAAAAAACACTTAACTGCATCACTATTTTTGTTGAATTTATGTTTGTACCTTAACTGGGTTCCGGAGGCAGTTTATAATTTTCGGGAAGCGGAGTTTGATCGGGAGTATATTCCATTATTGACGTCTGCAGACGGGTGCTTTCATGTTCACTCTGTTTACGTAGCTCTGTTAGCTCGGTAATGTTACATGGCTTGGTTGAATTCTAATATAGAATGCGGTTTGCCATGAAAAACAGAGCGTTGCCATGGATTCTAAACGTAGAGACTTTTTTTTTTTTTAGCGGAAGCGATACAATCGTTTTTTAATCAATAAACTCCTTTTCATATCCATATTTTGAGTCAAATTATTGATTTATTTGGTAGGTAGCCATGTAATAAGAGGGGTAATGTAGAGCGAGGCAGTTGTTATAGCGAATACAAATCCTTCAGGCTTCGCGTCGGGCTCATAATCAACCTCCTCGCTATACATTATCCCTAACTTATTCTGTCTGTTCAGCGTCCTCCACCGTGGTGTTGGGGTTCATAATGTTCACAATTGTATTTTATTAGTTGTTGGTTTAACCATGGTTCATGAGGTAATGGCTGTTATTTTCTTTTCAATGACTTTTCTTGTTACATGTTCATTGCTGGATTTATAGAAAAACATCAACCAATATTGCATATCGATTTTTATGCCTATTTTGAATTTTACTTGAATACAAATACAAATACTTTTCCCCCCTGAACAAATACAGATACAGATACAAATAACGGCTGCTTTGCACACCCCTACAGTACACTCTGCATATGGCGATTACAACATACGATTACATACATACTTTAGCCTTTCTCTTCTCATATCGGTCAGTCTTACCATCAGTCGTAATGATTATAACGTTCTGAGTCTCATTGAACTGATTTCTTTTGGTCTCCCTGAGGAAAGCAAGCTGACTGTACACCCTTTCTAGGGCTTTATACAGATTAGTGCCTTTCTTACTTCCATGACCTGAAATGAAATGTAAATTAATTACATAAAACTGGAGTAAGAAATCTATAAATTTGTAGTAAAACACATGGCTTAAAAATGTAAAAAAAAAAAAAAAAAAACATTTGTACAGTGAACTTACTTTCGGCACTAAACTCCTCTAATTTCCGCAAGATATAATTCACATCTTGACTGTCGATGCTTGTAATGGACACAATTTCCTTGGGCTCACTGGCATATGAGATGATCTCAAATTTCATGTGGACTTCATAGCTATCCAGCTGGAAGTTGAACAAAATTGCACGGCAATTTATTTTTGCACAATCATTTATTTTAATTCAAACACATGATGGCTATTTTATGCTTTATAATTAGAGGTGGGAAATGAAACAATTATTTATATACCTCTGTAAGTATGAAGAGCAGTGATCTAGAGCAGGCCTATTCAGTTAGCAGTGTGCATAAATGATTAAAATCAGTGCATTTTGTCGCTCTATGTAGTAAACATTTACAATATCATAATATTGTAACAGTTGCTTTTTATGTAACATTGATTTCACGAGCCGTTCTATGGCGAGCCCTTTTGTTGTTCTTGCAAAGTTATGTGTTTCTGACTGCTCTCTTTGTTATTTAATTGATAATAAACAATATATGAAAGAGAGAAAACTAGATGTAAAACAAACCCATTTTGTTGTATGAATATCTGAACGTACTATATATCAAAGGAAAGAACAGACCATCTACTTAATAATAATAATAAGCTTCATGGTGTCACAGAACAGAAGGGAACAGACAGGTGAGTTTGAACAGAGTTTATTGAAATAAGAGGACAATGGTAAGTAGCGTGGTAGATGAAGTTGGAGATGGATATAAACAGTCTGATGATGGTTCTCTTATCTGAATAGGAGCGGGAGGTCGGAGAGCTGACGGGGCCAATGGAGAGAGGATCGGAGCTGGAGACTGGAGCGGACTGGAAACAGACGGGGACCAAGGACGGGAACTGACGGCAGGTTGACGGGCTGGAGAATCAATGCAGGTAAGTAGTCGCAGGAACGTGGAATAGCGATGGGGAGTCTGTAGTCGTGGTAAAGACGAGACCAGACAGTGAGTGACTGAATGAGGTGAGTATATATGGAGTGGATGATAGTCCGGATAAGTGATGGCAGGTGGTGACGGCAGGTGGTGATGATTAGTAGTCAGGGGAACCGGAACGAGTAGGCGGAGTGAAGGTATCTGGTGCTGACGCTGATGGATCCGTGACAGTACCCCCCCCCCCCCCACGGCCAGCTCCAGCTGGCGGGCGGGACCGACGACGGGGACGACCACGGCCCCTGGGTGCAGGACGATCTGGATGGGCTGAATGGAAGTCCTGGAGTAGGGTGGGATCCAGAATGTCCCAGCATCAGCATCTCCCAGCATCTCTCCTCCACACCAAATCCCTCCCAGTCGACGAGGTATTCCAGAAGGCCGCCCCGTCGCCGGGAATCGAGGATTTCGTGCACTCGGTAGATGTTGTCATCCTCCGGATCCGCAGGAGGAGGGGGCACGTCCGCAGCACCAGACCCTGGGGAGGAAGGAGTGAGAGGATTAGTATAGGGCTTGAGGAGGGAAACATGGAAGGTAGGTGCGATGCGGTAGTGAGCGGGAAGTGAGAGTCGATAGGTGACGGGATTGATCTGCCTCTGTATGGCGAACGGACCTATGTATCTGGGACTCAGCTTACGACAGGGCTGTCGGAGACGGATGTCCCGGGTGGAGAGCCAGACCAATTGTCCTGGGTGATATTGGGGATTGGAGGTACGTCGAGCGTCGGCCTGGCTCTTGTGTCTCCGAACAGCCCGCTGGAGGTGAGTATGGGCTGAGTTCCAGACTCTCTCGCTCGTCTGGAACCAGTGATGGACTGCTGGAACGTCTGATGGTTCTCCGGACCAGGGAAACAGAGGAGGTTGGTAGCCGAGTATGCACTGGAAGGGGGTGAGTCCTGTGGTGGATTGACGGAGGGAATTCTGTGCATACTCGGCCCACGGCAGGTAGCGACTCCAGCAGTCCTGGTGGTCGTGGCAGAATGACCATAGATATCTCCCGATTTCCTGGATCTTCCGCTCAGTCTGGCCGTTGGACTGGGGGTGGTACCCCGACGTTAGACTGACGGTGACACCCAGGAGAGTAAAGAAGGCCCTCCACACACGGGAGATGAATTGAGGACCCCGGTCAGACACCACATCCTCTGGGATACCAAAGTTCTGGAAGACATGGTGGAATAAGGCTTCGGCGGTTTCAAAGGCTGTGGGTAACCCGGGGAGCGGAATCAGCTTGCATGCCTTGGAGAAGCGGTCGACTACGACGAGAATGCAGGTGTGATTATTGGAACGGGGAAGATCGGTGACGAAGTCGACTCCCAGATGGGACCAAGGGCGAGTGGGTATGGGTAGTGGGCGGAGTTTCCCTTCGGGGAGATGGCGAGGAACCTTGGCCATGGCACAGACTGAGCATCCCTTGACGTATCGGGAGACATCCTGGGCCATACCGGTGATGAGGGTTGATTCATTCCATCCCAGCGTGGCGGCGAGGATCCGAACCTGCAGGGCGTATGAAGCTACGGACGATCTTCCTTGTCTCAACCGGAGCAGTTGATCTTGTACCGGGATGGAGTGAGCCGATTGGGAGAACACCTCGAGGAAGTGACTGGAGAAAGTGGTGAAGGTCTGGGTTACGGGCCCGCGATCCTTCCATAGGGCGTGAGCCCACTGCAGAGCCCGACCACGGAGAAGGGAAATGAAGAAGGCCACTTTCGACTGATCGGTGGGGAACGAGGATGGAATCATCTCCATGTAGAGCTCACACTGCAGAAGGAAGCCGCTGCACTCCTCCTCCTCGCCAGAAAAGGGCGCTGGTTGGGCCATGGGACATACAGAGGCAGAGGCTGAAGAAGTGGCTACGGTGGCTGTAGCGAGTGCGGATGCACTGGTCCGGGGAACGGAGGGTGTCAGTCGGGTTTCGGGGTGGAGGTGATAGCGGGCGGTGGTTGAAGCATTTTGCGGGTCTGGTCTTCTGTCACAGAACAGAAGGGAACAGACAGGTGAGTTTGAACAGAGTTTATTGAAATAAGAGGACAATGGTAAGTAGCGTGGTAGATGAAGTTGGAGATGGATATAAACAGTCTGATGATGGTTCTCTTATCTGAATAGGAGCGGGAGGTCGGAGAGCTGACGGGGCCAATGGAGAGAGGATCGGAGCTGGAGACTGGAGCGGACTTGAAACAGACGGGGACCAAGGACGGGAACTGACGGCAGGTTGACGGGCTGGAGAATCAATGCAGGTAAGTAGTCGCAGGAACGTGGAATAGCGATAGAGAGTCTGTAGTCGTGGTAAAGACAAGACCAGACAGTGAGTGACTGAATGAGGTGAGTATATATGGAGTGGATGATAGTCCGGATAAGTGATGGCAGGTGGTGACGGCAGGTGGTGATGATTAGTAGTCAGGGGAACCGGAACGAGTAGGCGGAGTGAAGGTATCTGGTGCTGACGCTGATGGATCCGTGACACATGGATTCTTTTTTTTATCAACACTTAAATGTTGGGTATGTTTAATAAAAAAGCAACATTTTGGACACTTTTTTTGTCAAAGGCCTACTTTTCATTCTATTAAATAAGGCAGTTTATGCTGTTGAATGTGTAATGATTGAGTTATTTTACATGAGCGTAAACAATTTTCTATCACATGTTTTCTGCTTCTTCTCCAGTGTTTTGTTCCGGACATTCTGTAATCATTCAGAAGACTTGTGATAGCACCCCCTACCATATAATAGCGAAAACAGTAAATGACTGTTCCCTTACCATCCTAGGGAAAAAAAAAAGATCGCTCCCCAGATGTACTGTAGATCTACATTTTGCTTCGTTTCGTGCGGACATTTGATGGCGTGTACTCGGACGTTAATGGCGTAGACATACACGCATGCACGCGGATAGCTCAAAATGCGTAGAGATAACACGCCACTTGACTCGAAAGTGGCGTGTATGTTTACGCAAAAGTCATGATGTCATGTTGCAACTCAAAACTATTCCTCTAACCCTGAGTTTGTTCAACTACCATTATGGTACGAGCCTGTAGTCTTTGACCATCTACAGCTAGCTGTTTAAGAGAACACATTCCTATTAAATTAGTTTAACGTTTTGTTTTAAATAAGTATATTAACATGTTTTTTTTGACAGCTTTTTGTAATTGTAAAAAAATGTTTTCATACATTTTTGTAATTTTGTAATTTGCTTTGCCTTTTCATTTTTCCAAGATATAAAAATACAGACCTTACGGACAAGTTCAATAATGGCAGTTTTTGCTGTCTGAAAATTCTCCTTTGAAATGCTTCCTGATGTGTCCATAAGGATGAAGACATTCAGCCGACCATCTTCAACCCTGACAGTCCTACCCAAATATTGCCCTATGATTGTGCAAAAAAAAATTTTATGTTCCTTACTTGTGTAAAAGAAAATGTTTTTTTTTTTCCAAAATAATTCTCTTTTCACCTTTCTTTTTAAAGTTAGGATGTGACACATCCATAACTGCAGTCAGAGATCCTCCAAAGGCCTGAGCAACGGTTGCTGGCTGATCAAATGAGTACTGGGCTAAAAAAAAAAAAAAAAAAAAAAAAAAACAAATATATATATATATATATATATATATATATACATACACACACACACACACAGTATATATACAGTATATTGAATCATTAAATCGGGGGTGTATTCCAGAAAGCAAGGCTATCTTACCGTCAAACATACCCTAAACACTCGGTTGATTAAACCAAACCTTGCTTACTCAAGGTATGCTGGTTCTAAAAGCGCTTTCACACCAGACATTCTCATCAGAGCGACGAATTGATCAATCACCATGGAGACGGGTACTAAGAAAAAGCATGGAATACCTCTACCTCTTTTGTTAAATGCTGATTTACATATTACCAATACCACCTATTTGAGGGTTGTGTAATCATTTTACATTCTTTTCGTTTGATAATATTTAATCACTGTGAATAAGTCATTTTGCTTCAACATTGCTTGAAAGGTAAGATATCATATTTCATAAGTCCTATAATATACTGTATGTCTCTTATTATAGAAATATATTATTGCAAAGAAAACGTCCTGTTACAAAAATTAAAAAAAAGTCTGAATGCAGATCAACAATGTGTATATCAAACATATATAATTTCATATAAACAAGGCATATATCAAACATATATAATTTTAAGAAGACTCTAAAACAGATTACAATTAATAGTATTACATCAGTTAATTTGTGACTGTTTATAGGTACTGATATCATCAAATGCTGTATGAGTGTGTGTATATGTGGATAAATGTATAAATGTGGTAATGTTTATATGAATGTTATATTTATGTATGTTATATTTGTGTATTTTAATTGTACATAAGTTTAAGTACTGTTATGGGCCCCAGGAAGAATAGCAACCACATTGTGGAAGCTAATGGGGATCCAAATAAATAAATAAATAAATAAATAAAATGTGTGAGATGAGAATTTAATATATATATATAATTATATAACATTTTAATTATATAACATTTTGTGCAATCTGCCACGCCCAATGGAGCCTCATCAATAGTGCACGCATGTGCTGAACACCTCTGAAGTAAACTAACCCTGAACTAACCCTGAACACCTCTGAAGTAAACTACCCCTGAACACCTCTGAACTAATCTAACCCTGAACTAAGCCTGAAATCCTCTGAGATAAAATAACCCTGAACACCTCTGAAGTAAACTAACCCTTGATCATGTTTATTTATTTATTTATTTATTTATTTATTTAATATGGACATAGCAATAACATTGGATGAACCAGATGCATTGTTTAAAGTGTAATAGCACATGTGCTAATTTTCAACACCTGTCCATGTGCTGCTCCAGAGCAGATTATGTTCAGAGAGTAGGTTGCTATGGCAACTTACATACCTTCAGATTACCTGAGTTTTTGGAACCAAAAGTTGGGGTTGCTTACTTACCCTTAAACATATACACGGGAATGTCACATAACCTGCTTTCTGGAATACACCGCAGTCCCACTCTACATTGTGTAAATAAACGTAAGTTTCCTTGACTGACCATAGCAGCGAGGTTCTGGCCCACTCCATTCCCTTGAATCCAAACATTGCCTTTCAGAGGGGCCGAGCAAATCCAGACCTAACTGACACAGATACTGCACTCGGTCTCCAATACGGAAGCGTTCCCCAGAACGTAAGGCCCCTGGAGGGGCCCCTGGGTTTTTGCAGTCCTCAGCTGGAATAAGAAACACATGATACATATATTTATCATTTATATACTATGCATTTTTTGTAAATGATGCATTGTTCAATATTGATCAAAATCACAAATGAAACCTATTTAAATGTATTTATTATGCATGCCAGTCCAGTTATTTGCGATGTCACTTTGCAAAGAAACGCCACACACCTATGGACTGAACACGTAACATGCATGAGTATGATGTCACTGTTTCAGAAATTCATTAAAAACTTATATATGTCACCTTTTCCCACAAAACTCATGTTTTGTTCTGCTCCCATCCGCAAAAGCCCACATAAAAGTATAAACAGATTTTTTTCTTTGTGTCCATAAAAATACTTTTTCAAATAAGTAACACAAGTTACTTTGTTTTCCCATGTATTGACTGGCAGCTCTTTTGTCCCCATATTGAGACAAATCGAAGTGCAGAGGTGTGCTGTGGCAATTTCTCAAAATGGATGAAATCAGTGAAATGCTAAATCAGAATACTATGCAAACCTTCAATAACTAAATATGTTAAATAAAACATAAATACGTATGCATTTAATCACACCTTATTGACCAATGTACTTGCTTCTGATCTTCTTTCAGTTAAACCATAAGCAAAGATGACTTTAGATTTTTTTTTTTTTATTGGTAAAGTAAGTGTTAAACTTTTTTCTCCTCTGTCTTATTCTTCCGTTATCCAGAACTGCAGCTGAAAGGTTTGTCTGAGTGGTGTCTCTATTGTACAAGCGTGAATTAGCATTTCCTTCAGCCTGAGGGTTAATATTTCACTTTTAGTTCTGAAAGGGTCTTTACATTTGCCCAAAAATATTTAAAAAAATTATAATAAAACGTCTTGTTGTCAGGATTCAGGATCGGAGACAGAGGTAAGTGATGAACTTAAACTTTCTTTATTAATAAACAAGGTAAGTATTCAGGGTTTCAGGTGCTCAGAAGTGCTCTTGAAGGAGGATACGTGACAGGAATACATCCAGGTGAGTGAATCCTCCTCTTAGGAATTACATGAACGGTGACACAAGGCAATGACTTTCCTTTTCTCACGTTCAGATCGTCGTGGAGCAGACGAAGTACAGACAGGATTCCAGGTGAGTAGATCCTTTTTCAATAGTAGGTCGGGAACTAACACAGTTCAGTGATACTTGCTTTTCATCCTTATAGATCATCCATTAGAGGGACGAGACTCATGGCAGAATCCAGGACACAGGGAACGAGAATCATGGAGCAGATCCTGGGAACATCAGAACAAGGACAGAGCGGTTAGTCTTTACAGGTAAGTATACTTTACATCTCAGCTCGGTGGATGTCTCAGAGGGAAGCAAGTGAAGGCTGGTTAGGGTCTTTTCCTGTTGGAGACTTGACAATGAGTGACTGTGAACTTGGTGCTTTTATGCTGGCTGTGAAGGGCGTGCTGATTGGAAACAGGTGCAGGTGATTAGAACTCTGGGGAAAGTGATCGTTGCGTGGTGACTTGGGAGGACTCTGATTGGCTCCTGACATTACCCCCCCCCCCTCCAGAGTCCGCGCCAGCGGACCTTGGACCTCGACGTCGTGGGGGTCTACCTCTGGGTCGTGGTGCAGGTTTCTCGGGATGCTGAGCATGGAATTCTAGAAGCAAACTGGGATCAAGAACATCATTCCAAGGTACCCAACTCCTCTCCTCTGGCCCATATCCTTCCCATTCAATGAGATATTCGAGCTTACCCCTCGACGTCGAGAGTCCAAGATCTCTTTAATAAGATAAATGGACTCTGGCTCAATGGGTGGTATCGGGGGGTTGTCCTCTGGTTCTACCTCTGTGACTGACTGGGGTACCGGTGGATGATAGGGCTTTAGGAGGGAAACATGAAACGTGGGGTGAATGCGATATTCTGGGGGTAACTGGAGCTGATACGTGACTGGATTAATTCGCTTTACGACTGGAAATGGTCCGATGTACTTGGGGTTCAACTTTCGACATGATTGGCGAAGTCTGATATCTCGAGTGGAAAGCCAGACGAGCTGTTCAGATTGATACTCTGGATTGGGTCAGCGGTGTTTATCCGCAAACTGTTGCTGCCGGTTGACAGCTTGCCGGATATGGTGATGTGTCTGATCCCAGACCTGTTCACTCTCTTCCAACCACTTGTTAACTGCTGGTACTTCTGAGGGTTCACCGGACCACGGGAATAACGGAGGTTGATAGCCAAGGACGCACTGGAATGGAGTTAACTGAGTGGATGCCTGTCGAAGAGAATTCTGTGTGTATTCTGCCCAGATGAGGTACTTGCTCCAGATGTTCTGATTGGAGTGGCAGAATGTTCGCAGGAACCGACCGATGTCTTGAATTTTACGCTCTGTCTGTCCATTGGTTTGTGGGTGATACCCTGAAGACAGACTCACTGTCACATTCATTAATGTGAAGAATGCTCGCCAGACTCGAGAAATGAACTGGGGTCCTCGATCGGAGACAATGTCCTCAGGGATACCGAAATTTCGAAAGACATGTTCCACCAACAATTCAGCGGTGTTAAAGGCTGTTGGCAGTCCTTTCAATGGGATTAACTTGCACGCCTTTGAGAAGCGATCGATGGCCACGAAGATGCAAGTATTCCCCTCAGAGACGGGAAGATCGGTGACAAAGTCTACACCGATGTGGGACCAAGGTCTATTCGGGACTGGAAGGGGTACTAATTTACCCACAGGCAGATTTCTTGGTACTTTGGAGATGGCACACGGGATACATCCTTGAATGAAGTTGGTGATATCTGATCGCATGGTGGACCACCAATATTTGACTTGTAGAGTGGCTAGAGTCTTGTTTACCCCTGGGTGTCTAGTGGCTACTGATGAGTGAGCTGATGAGATCAAAGAAGTTCGGAATTCCTCAGGCACATAGATCTTCCCGGGAGGACATCCGGGGACTCTGGGTTGTTGCTGGGATAGCTCTTGGAGTTGATCATTTATCTCCCACTGGATGGGGTTCACGAAAAGACTCTCTGGCAGGATAGTTTCAGATTCTTCTACAGGGATTTCAGAGGCATGAAAACGAGATGGAGCATCTGCTCTTGTATTCTTTGAGCCTGGGCATTGGCAATCTTGAAATGGAATCGTGTAAAGAACAACGCCCATCGGGCTTGACGTGGGTTCAGACGTTTCGCATCTCTTAGATACTGGAGGTTCTTGTGATCGGTGAGTACTAGGAATGGGTGCTTTACTCCCTCTAACCAGTGTCTCCATTCTTCTAAGGCAAGCTTTACAGCTAGAAGTTCCCGGTTTCCGATGTCGTAGTTGGCTTCAGCTGGAGAGAAGTTCTTAGAGAAGAAGGCACAAGGTGATGGCTTAGAGGAGCAATCAGAATACTGGGAGAGAACTCCTCCAACCCCGGTGGTGGATGCATCTACCTCTACCACAAAAAGCCTCTCAGGATCAGGATGATGAAGCAAGGGTCCAGTGGTGAAGGCAGACTTCAGAAATGTAAACGCCTCCTCGGCTTCTGGGGTCCATTTCAAGGTCTTGGGCTTTCCTTTTAGCAATGTGGTAAGAGGAGCGGTGAGCAAACTGTACTGGTTGATAAACCGTCGATAGAAATTGGCAAAGCCAAGGAACCTTTGGAGTTCTTTCACTGACTTGGGGGTTGGCCAGGACATGATGGTCTCAGTCTTGCTTCTATCCATCTCCACTCCTCGATCACTCAGAACGTATCCCAGGAAATCGACAGTGGTTTGATGGAAAGTGCACTTTTCAGCTTTCAGAAACAAGGTGAATTCTCTGAGTCTTTGGAGGACTAAGGACACGTGTCTTTGATGCTCAGCTGGGTTCTTGGAATAGATCAGGATATCATCGATGTATACCAGGACAAACTTTCCTAGGAAGTCGCGGAGAACCTCATCCATAAAACTTTGGAATACTGAAGGGGCGTTGACCAAACCATAAGGCATGACGAGGTATTCATAGTGGCCTGCAGGGGTGATGAAAGCGGTTTTCCATTCATCTCCTTCACGAATTCGGATGAGATTATAGGCACTTCTCAAATCAAGCTTGGAAAACATCTTTGCCTCTCTGAGTTGTTCTAGTGTGGCGGGAATGAGAGGTACGGATAGCTGAACTTCATGGTGACTTGATTTAAGGCTCTGTAATCGATACAAGGTCTCAGCCCGCCATCTTTCTTGGACACAAAGAAGAAACTGGCTGCTGCGGGAGAGGTAGATGGCCGGATATATCCTTGATCTAGAGCCTCCTTGATATATTTCCTCATAGACTCTTGTTCAGGAAGAGACAGGGAGTAGATTCGACCCTTGGGCAGTTGTGCATCAGGAACCAGATCAATAGCACAATCCCATGGTCGGTGTGGGGGCAACTTGGAAGCAGTAACGGGATTAAAAACATCAGAGAACATGGAATAACAGGTAGGAATATTTGTTGACAGGTTTTCTGTGGGACTCTCAATGGACGTGGAATTCACTGGGATTGACTGGACTTTTTATTCGTTGACCAGACTAGATGAGGGATCCTTGCGGCTAGTGCAATGGCATCCCCATTGTAGAATTTTTCCAGACTTCCAATTGATTGTTGGTTGATGACGAATTAACCATGGTCGGCCAAGAATGAGATCTGTTTGACTATTCAGGAGCACAAATGGTTCGAACCATTCTTGATGCGTCTTTTCTACACATAGTTGAATGGGAGCAATTTTGGTAGTAACGTTTTTCTTGTTAATCAACTCACCAGTTATGGCATAGATGGAGTAGGTTTTGGGTGTGTTGATCTCTCGCAGCTTAAGTCTCCTACAGAGATCTCCGGAGATAAAGTTTCCCGCTGACCCTGAGTCAACGATAGCTGTCACAGGGATGCAGAGTTCTTGAATTTGTAACGTCACGGAAATGGTGAGAGGTGTTGAAACATGAGCATGGTCCAGAACTGAGCTTACCATCATTCTTCCAGGTCGAATTGGGCAGTTGAGTCTGAAGTGGCCCTTGGTACCGCAGTACATACACAACTTTAACTCTTTC